CACTCAGTATTCACACAAAAAAATTAAAACAGACCCCTTGCTGTTTATCATGCAATACTAGATAATAGAACACCTGAAAGTTTTGATGTGGTTTCAGTTTTTTTCAATATGTTATGTTTTACAGGTGAGATATTGCTACTTTTTAAACTTTTTTTTACATTTTATCAGTATTTGCAATAAAAAAAATATTGTATATTTTATATACTAAGGTACTGACACTTTTTCTGAAGTGGCTTAAAAAGAACAATGAACCATTCACGGAATTAAATACTTATCTACACAGGATCTTTCTGGCAAACATTTGCAGAAAAATCCTGCAAAAAAAAAAAGTGGAAGCAATGGATCGTAAAGTGCTTGTGTTTATGTGCTTTGTTCTATGCTTGTACGCATGAACACATCGTTGTATGCATACACGTGTAAATTACTGACTTCAGATGCACATTTTTCTATTCTATTTTATGAATCTGAACACAGCACAAGCTTACTGATATTTAACCTCTTCGTGACTGAGCTTGTTTTTAGTTTCTATTCGTAAATGACTAACACACTTTTGAAATTTTTGCTGTGTGATTCTTCCATAGAACGGGGGAGGAGATCGGCAAACTGAGGTTCGTCCATCTCCTCCCCAGCTTCCCGCTGACACCAAAGAAGCCGGTCCCGGGCCCGTAGGAGGGGCAACGGAGCCCGGGAAACAGCTGAGCCACCAGAATCACTTCTACTGTAAAGCCGACAGTCGGCTTTACAAGTTTACAGCCAGGAGTCTGTTTAAACAGCCCCGATGCCAGCGATGTACACTATACGTCGTTGGTTGTGAGGGGGTTAATATAGAAAAACAACTAATTTAAAGGTCAGTAACTGACACCCTGGAATGTTTTGTTTCTGCGAGAAGGAGCACCCCTGCACTGCTTTAACAATTGTCATGTAGCAAAGCTCTGAAAGCTTAATTTGCATTACAAGAAAGTCATTCATTTTTTTGGGTTCATCAACTGTTTTCAAAATTGAACATGTGCTTTTTTGGCTACTTTAGTCACAAATGATGCTTAGTGGAGTTCTTCTTTAGTGAACATTTATTTTGGACGCAATCTCCAGTGCAATCTCCAGAAGTGAACATTTATTTTGGACGCAATCTCCAGTTGAGCCTGAAATTTTGTTTACGAAGACTACATTTGGCTGAAATTTCCCAGCTATCAAACAGTCAGTAATGCAATGTCTTACTTGGGTCCCAACTTCAAAGCTGCAAATCCATTTATTTCTATATACAGAAAATAATCACAATCTCGTCTACATCTTTTTCTATGTAAAGGCACATGCAACCTACTTTCGCAAGGTTTTCAATACTCTTACAAAAAATATATATATCTATAACTGCCCCAAACTGAAAGCCATATTGTCTCACACAGTTGATTTATTTTGTCACATTGCCTCTGCTCAATCCTATTTTTGTAATGTAGCCCATCTTAGGACAGCTGGAATAGCTGAATCCAAGCAGAGCAGATAGAACATCCTTCTGCTGTGCCAGCCTGTAGCCTCTGTGTGAGGTGGCCATCAGCATTTGGTCCTAGTGTACAAAACAGCATGGGGTGCTTGCAGCACAATGGTGGTGTAATAACAGCTTATTAATAATAATTAGGTCAAGCATTTATGTTGCTTATTTTATTATGCAGCTGCAGATGGTCCTCATTTATCTCCGTTAGGACAGGTGGCTGAGGGCACGATCAGAATGCAATTTGCAGAGGCAGTCTTTGCGTAAAAAACACACAGTAATGCCACAGGTCTCTAGTATAAATTTGGGGATTTGACAGCCTTTTTTTCTCCTACACTTGATTTATAAGGTGTGATTATGAAAAAGGTGCCTATTTGACATATAATCTAAAAGCAGCATTCCCTGAAAGTTATTTTCCAACTGCTGAGAATCAACTGACAGCAGACTAGCTTGGTGTTTCAGACTTGAAAAACAGCAGTTTCAGTATCTGTGACCTTGGATGAGTCCTGAAAAGCTGTTGTGCATTGTGCTGTTATGCATTTCATTGGCATTGATTAATAGCACCTCTTGTTTCCCTATCTACAACACTGCAGCTACCTCTGAAGACAATCATTATTAACAGAGCAGGTTCAAATTGTATTAGAGAATGTAAAGTAAAAGTGGCTAAATCCTCTTTGTTCTGCTGCTTTAAGGATTCAGCTAAGCTCTCCAAGGAATCAGGCAGCTCATTGACATAGCTAATAGTGAGTAAGTCAGCAGCATTAATCAGTCTATCATTGTGTTCATGCTTGTGGTTTCTTGCTAAAGTCAAACCGTATATCATCTAATGGCTAACAAAGATGAACATTACTAAAAAAATGCTTCTTTCCCCCTTTCCCTCTTGTCCTAGTCAATGGTCTGGCACAAGGTCGTTGATAAAGGCTTGTATGAGAAAATGTGCACTGCCTGTTAAAAGCACATACTGTATATGTTGTGCTAATATATTAATTGCTGAACCAAGCATTAGACTGGTCATTCAGTTAATAAGGTTGGCTAACTGTAGCTCTTTGGCTGCTCTAAGACTTGCTGGACATTCCAACTGTGTAAAAAAAAAACACTAAAACACAGGACCTGCTATTGTTGAAGTCAGTCCTTATCTGCATAACTGACCCTGATCAGTGCTTAAAAAATATTAAGCTATTAATGAGTTAGTATTACAGCCAGGCAACTAACTAGTTTCCCAATATAAAGAACACTGTTTAGGAGATGAGGAAGTATATTATTCTAAGCAGACCTGAACCAACCAATTACATGGAGCCAAAAATATTGGCACCCCTGCAGTTCTGTCTGACAATGCACCACTTCACGCAGAAAATTGTTGCAATTACAAATGTTTAGGCATTCTCATGTATATTTCTTATGTTTTTATTGGTATAACACAAAAAAGTGGAGGAAAAAAAAACAAATCTGACACATTCCACGCAAAAAACTCCAAAAATGGACTTTCAGCTTGAAGTGGTCCATTATGTGACAGAACTGCAGGAGTGCCAATATTTTTGGTAATGACTGTATATACATACATGCATACATACATACATACATACATACATACATACATACACTGAACAGTATTTAAATACCTTTGATTAGTACTTTTATGCTGACAAGATAATGACCAATTGTTGTATTCTAGTTACAGCCATAGAAACAAGACTGTAACTAGAATACAAAAACTGGCCATTAACAAGACTTACTGTCTAGGGACAATGCTTCTCTATGTAGGATTAATCAGCTATCATTATGTGTTCTCATGGTGATGCCTACCATTGCTAGCTACTTTTTTCTAATCATATATATTAATGAAAAAAATTATTACGCAGCCAATATGGGGGAGTATTCAAACCAAATGCAGAACAAATCAGTAAATACTTATTGCCCATTTGTAGCTCTGCACAAATGTGGTGGTACATTAAAAAAAAAAAAAAACTGCTTGCTGCATTTTGGATGCACTTTCCATTAAGTGCTGCTTCTAAAGGGATGATTTGTAACGCATGAGTCACAAACGAATAATCATAATATAGTGATTCAGAGAGCGGCGCTGATGTTTTCACATCAGTACCACTCTGCATCACACAGGGCAGCCCACCACCCAGACAAGACTGAGGAGGAAGAGGATCCAGCGCATCACATAACTGGCCACAATACTAACAAAGCATGAAACACTAAGGAGACCAGAAGGCTGAGGGGCTTTGGAGGAGAAGAGCATAGAGTCTGGAGTTGTGTGTTAAGCTCTGGTATGGGAACAAAGGCTGCCCACTGTGGTTGTCAGCTACTGGGGACTACTGGCCAATCACTCCAATGGTGAGACCAATGAGGTGTGAGGGGGAAGGACAGAACTCTCAACCAGAAACTGTTTTCATATCAGAGCATCTCTTCCAGGTTCATGGAGTGCTCAGCAGACAACATAACCTCTACAGGTGTACTATAAGTTTGCAGTCCACCTATTTTTAGCTGGCTGTTTGAAAACTCACTTATATAACTGCAGCAGATATCTGCTGACCATTCGCAGAGCGATGATTGAGCAAGCGAGTTAGAAAACACTATTTGCTTTTATTCTTCTGGAAACAGGAAGTACTAAGAGCATTTGGCCTCTCTTTAAGTTATACTGAGAATATAAGGTCAACAGCATCCATTCAAACAAATTCATTAAAACACAAGAGTTCTATCCTACAACTTTCCCCAAATTACGTAGATGAAACATGTTGCCAGTTGGACAAACCTCTTAAAATTGCATGTTTTAGACAATGGATAGATTGAGTCTTTAAAAACTCAAGAAAATATTTTGAAAAAACAATTACATTTTTAATTACATTACTAATACTGCAGCCTCAAGCTTTGGATGTAGAACTACATCTGTGTGTTCAGTATTCAATATAGTGTATATTCTATACAAATCCTTTTCTAGTGTATTAGGGGTCAAAAACAGCACTGTTATCAAAAGCTTTCATGATGTCAACTGGTTTCTTTATGTTCTGTTTCAAAGTATTAGATGTTTATCATTAATATTTTATGATCAGACATACTTTTTAGACACAGAAGATTCTATTAATTCTAACCTGAAACAGATTAGAAACGAAAAAGTACAATGAAAAAGGTCCAATGATATCAGATTACATTAAACAGGATCACTACAGACAAAATAATAAAACGTAGATTTGAATGCCTCAAGTTTCTTTACTTCTTTACATGTGCTAGCATGATAATGTCATTAAATTAAAGTCTCATTTGATTAGGGCTTATGTACATGAGTATCACACTTAAATTGCTTTAAGTTGCTTTTGAGTTGCATTGAGCTGCTTTTATTTGCTTGACTTGTATGAGTAAGAAAAATAGCTTAAACCAATAGCAAAACCAAACCCTGTGTACATGAGCCCCAAGCCATAAACAATAATTACACTGTGAATTAACCAGAGAAAATAAGTACGTCATATTATACTATACTATTGTAATCACCAATATAATACATCTATATATTTACCTGAACAAGATGGACAGCATTGCCCAGGAAGTATAGTGGGGTTGACACATCCAGGAACAGGGCATGTTATTAATGCACACATCTCCCGTCCATTGAGACAATAGCACTCGCGGCATCCGTCATGCCAGCTCTCTTCATTTTCATGTCGTCTCCCATCCATTGATAGACAGGTGTCTTTTAGGACTGGTGGCACTGGAGATTCTGTGGTTTCTGCAAAAAAAAATAAAAAATCAAACCATTTACTAAGCTGCAAAACAATTCTAGAAGGCATGACCTTCTACCTATTATTTTCCTAGATTTTCCTTAGATAGACAGTGGCTAGCCTTACATGATCAACATATTTAAAAAAAATATATATACAAAAATATCTAGTTACACAATGCTTGTGTAACTAGATTACAATTGTTTAAACTTCATACAGGCAATATTTATGTATGTACACATAATTAGACTGCTATCTAAATCAATGTTACCAGGAGCCCAGAAAATCACATATGTCTGCCCATCTATATATATAAAGGAGAACTATGAGATGAGTGATTTCCACTCACTTCATAGTTCTAGCCGACCTGTGACAATGAGACTGTCACAGGTCGGCTCAGTAGATCGGGAGGTGAGCGAACACATACCGGGTTCGCTCACCTCTCGATCCTGTCACGGCTCTCCGGCGTGACAGGGGGAGGGGCTGGATTCCACTCTCCCCGCTCTGCCAGCGCTGACTGGCGGAACGGATGGGGGAGGGTACAGCTGGCTCTGCCTCTAGATAGGCAGAGCCAGCTGTCACTCACGCAGCTGGGCGGATCTCGACGTCCATGTCGGGATCCGCTCCGGCTGCGGCGTCTCAGTATACCGCGAGCTGTAGCTCGCGGTATACTGAGCTTAGGGTAACGGGAGGAGGCTAGTTTGTGTCCTCCCGTTACCCTAAGGAGAACTATGGGGAAAAACACTGACCACCTAGTTCTCCTTTAAAAGAGGACTATGGCCCAACCTTTTTTTGCCATAGTTATCTTCAGGGTTTACAGGAGAACATTTACTAATATCCTCCTGTAACCCACAACTCAGCATATAGCATGCTATTGCCCACTACATGCTGACCTCTAGGGAGACAGCGCCAAGTGTGCCCACACACTCCACTATCCATCCCTTCAGTCAGTGCTGGAAGAACGGAGAGGGGAGGTGGGGAATCCTTGTGGGAAGCGGTGACTGACAGTCACCACTCTATGCAGGGAGATGATTGGGAACTGAGCGATCAGCAGAATGTGATTGCTCAGTTCTTGATCTATGGAGCCCACATATGACAGCTTCATTGTCACACGACGGCACTAATTATGGGGGTGGGTGTATTTCACTCTCCCCATAATTCTCCTTTAACTTTGAAAGCTAACTTGTTTCATGTCAGAGAGTAAATGTTTTGAATCGAGAGGGTCAGCATGACTGTCAGGCAACTAACATTTTTAACAATGGCACACTCGGTGTTAGGCTCACAACAGGTTACTTTTTAATAACACACTGTTGCACTTTGCTTCTTGTTTTCTAGAAACGTACTTGACAAGTCTTCCTAGCTTACAATACACAACTGCAAACTACCGAAGTGGTTTTATCTTATTATTTTTGACTGCTGCAAAGTATTTGGTCCATTTACCAATCTTTGTTTTATAACTTGAAATATTGAGCTCTGGGATTTTTTTAAATATTTTAGTACTACCATAAATCCCTTGCTTTTCAGACACAAATTAGATAGACATTTTATACAACATACCTTCTTTGTAAACCTACATTTTTATAAGACTGCTTTATATTAGCCATGACAGCCTTTGCAGTACAAATTTCAAGCCCTTACTTAATAATTATTATTACAGTTAACCAATATTTACCATAAGCAAAATTATACATGTTTTTTTGTAAACTGTTGAAAAGTATTGTTTTATTCTGTTAATAGAAACATATTTTAAAAACATTTTTAATGACATTCTTTAAACAATGTTGCTAAGACTCAATCTTTTCTGCACTGCATTGCCTCCCTAATGTACGTGTAAGGCCTCATGCACGGGGATCAGTAGGTGATGGATAACTGTAGTTTCCGGTTGCTTGAGAGTTAATAGTAACTCTCAAACAACCGCCCTGCCAGTTGCTTGACAGTGCCAGTTGGTTGAATGCCGGATAATAGGGAAATTACTGTATTAAAAATTACTTTTGAAATTACATTATTATTATTATAATAATAAAGATAATTAGATTTTAGTGATTGTGTCTACATAAAAAAATACAACATGCACAAGTGACCTAGTTGGGAAATTATATAAATCTGGATTCACTATCTGCCTAAAAAGAAAAGGTTCTGCGTTGACCACAACCACTAATTAGATTCTTCCTTTAATTTTGTAACCAACATCTGAACTATAACAGCCAACCCCAGATTTGTTGCCAGCAAAATTGTTTTCTTGAGGGTATTTGTGGTTTTATCAGTATCCCAGTTTCCTAATGAATATGATGAGATAAATGTATTGTATTAGTCACATCAAGGCTGCTTTGTCTTCATAGAGGCACTTGGTAAGCGATTTAAAAATGAATGAATGAAGCTAACGAATCAGTGAAAGGTGTCAAAGTAAAATTTAACTGAAAAACTCTACTGATTTTTTTATTTATGTAACAGCAAATGGATGGTTCCATTCACTCATATCTGCTCTAAAACTGATCCCTGGGGGCTACATTTGCAGTTTATATTTAGAATTGTAATCCTTGACCAAAATAATCTTCCCCTGCTTTTCCAACCTGGCAGCATACAACTGATTTACAGCCACCTGCAATTGTGGACCATCTAAATTATAACATCTGCAGCAGGAGAATTTAAAACATGGGCAGAGGATGCCAGATGTAAATCCCATACCGAAGACTGCACATATGGTTTTTACTTATGTAAGCTATCCAAACTGCAAGATGAACATTTACCACAGGGCTCAATCTGGTTTGCAAAATATGATCAACATGTATAGTAACTTAAACCTGATCTTTTCTATCGTTTGCCGCAACCAATGTAATTACATCTGCTGCTTACTGCATAGCCCTCTGGGCCTCACAGATTGAGTGAGACTCTTGCTAATTGCATTTGTACCATTTAGTTATAGCTTAAGAAGCCTAGTTGTTGCGGTGTGTTATAGATACATCTTACCTCTGCCTAAAATATAGGTAGACAGGGCTTGAAAAATTTGACGGGGTCTCACCAGTCAGTCAAAAATTCCACCAGTCAGCATGACCGGACTATAGCCTTGCAATTTATGTTAAAAATTTTTGGGGACAGACAGAGCTTTCTTTTGGAGGTATATAATCACCACGGGGGGGGGGGGGGGGCTTTTTTTTTTTTTTTTTTT